GGAGGGACAAGGGGAGCAAAGGGATCAAACCAGGTGACTGCCAAGACAAGAGGAGAAATGTGAGATCTCAAGCAATATTGAATTACGTAGGAAAAGGAAAACAAAACTAGACGAGAGGCACTACAGAAACATGTGCCTTAGGAATCACAAAGGGAACAAGCTTGAGCTTGTGATACCTGGTAGGCAACAAAATGAAAGCAACATTTTAGGTACAGACAAAGCCAAATCATTCTGGCCTGTGTTTCCACAGCTGTTATTGTCCCCAGCGAAGGGCAGTGAGCGTCGCTGCAAGGGGCACGAGCGGGGTCAGCGCCCACGTCAGGATGAGCTGGGCACCCCAGGGCAGCACAGGCAGGGCAGCTGGGAGCAGGGGATCTGTGCTGACATGCTAACAAATTATTTGCAGTAGGCTGGAGCATCCTGGGAGCCAAGGGGAAGGGAAATCTCAGCTGATGCTCCTGTCTGACCAAGCAGAGCCAGTGTCTGACTTGTTTCTACATTGAGGCATGGGTGAATCAAGGCCAGGTTATTAAAATTTATATTCTTTCAGTCCTATGAGCTGCTCGGTCCTATTAATTTTCAGGTAAATAATGTCAGTGGCAGACAGGTGTGCTATGATGTTATTTCTACAAAAAAGGTCCAGTCTCTGAGAATAAAAGGCTGCTTAAAACTCAAATTTCTACTAAGTAATAATATATGGAGTTTAGCATTTAATCACAAGGAGGTTTTTCATATATTAACCTTAACAGTACATAATCAAAATTTCATTTAAATGATTTTTAAATTATTGTCACAAGCTGGAACAAATCTAAAAAGGAGAAAAAAAAACTAAAATAATTCTTTTAAAAGAGAATAATTAAATCTGGAAACTCTAGTTTCACTGTTTCTGTTCAGTATCCACTATCAAAATTATCCTTCATTCAGGTTGTTAATTACAAAATATGTCTACAAAATTTACAATTAATTTTTGGTTTATTAGGTTTAAAGTCTCGGCTTCTGCATCATTTTGTGTTGTGCTAGAGATATTTATATTCTAATTAAGCTTGAAGGTTTTTTGTAACTTTCAGTAAGCAATCCACGTAATCTGAATGTTGTAAAAAGTGTCAGGAGGCATATCCTGAGTCATATTCATGCACATACTGGATATAGTGTTTTATGCATCCTCAGAGATATGAAACATGGCAAACTTGTTTTCCCCTGAGGCAAATTTTCCCATGCCACTTAGGCAGATTAAATGAATGAAACATAAAAAGCTTAAGGAAAATCTTGACTTGTCTGAATCAAGGATCATTTTGCCATTTTCTCCAACAGAGCCAGAATTCATCCCTGATTCATGCTGGGACCTTCACCTAACAATCTGATCTCCACCCATCTCCCTGTTGAAGCTGCTTCTCAAACCAGGCCACAGCAATACCCAGAGCAGTTCTGAAATACTCTCACAAAAATCCTCAATCTTACCCAGAGCAGTTCTGAAATACTCTCACAAAAATCCTCAATCTGCAGCTGGGCACCTCTAGCAAGGAGTCCATGGAATGGCCACTTTTCCCCTCAGCTAACAGAATGGCCATAAGGAAAAGACCTTGGCCAGAGTGCATTTAATGTCAATCCCTTTGCCTATCTGCATAGCCCAAAAGTCAGCCTGTGACCTGAGAGAATCTGAGCTCTCCAGCCCAGAGCAATCCAAGTACTTTTGACCCATGAGATAAGCAGTAGGTACATCCATCTGATCAGAAACTGTTCTCACTCAACATGCACTGAAGCAATGGCAGCCAGCCAGAGACAGCCCCATGGAATGAGCTGAGAGCAGCTGCTGAAGGGCACATCTGTCCAGGAAAACCTCCCTAGCTGCCCTCAGCACAGGCACATGTACAACCTGTCATTTTGCAATTAAATACTTGAGCAGCCAGAATCAGTGCCCAATTCTCATTTAGGAACTCCACCACTGATAAAAATGACAGCATATTTATTTCAGTAGGATTTTGTCTGTACACACATTCAAAGATTACATGCAAAACAGGTGATTATAACCAGGAAATATAATCTCTTTTTTGCTTTTAGAAATGCTTTCTCAGTCCCTCAATCAAGCAATAGTCAGACAAATGACCTATTCAATATTAGCGACTGATCCTGACCTTACAACTCACAAAAAACTAACTGTGGAAAAATAATTTGTGCTGAAAATCTGAAAGCCAAAGCTCTCCAGCAATTCACCTCTGAAGCACTACAAAACTTAAGTAAAAAGATACAATTTGAAGCACTTACTGCACTAAGATGAGCACCACATCTCTTCTCTTCCCATAGGTACTGCAGTTCCTGTCTTATATTCTCAAAGTTTTACTATACTGCTTATGGAAAGAAAATACTGATCTGGAGAGTCTAAGGCAAAAATCTATTCTTTATTCTTATGTCCATTCTTTGAGACAGGATTAAACACCATATCTTCATGCTTTCAGCAAGAAATGTACTTGCAATACACTTGCACAATGACTGCCTAAAATATGCAAGTCCAAATATTTACTAGGCTTTGAAATTTCAGATGGAAATTTTAGTACACATTTAAATCTGTATTTCTGAAGTTTGAATGTTCATAGTTTAAATATTTTTTAAAAAGACAAAATACTTAAAATTATAAGATTTAATAAGAAGAAATTGAATACTGATTTTCATATTTAAACCTGCAGCTCTTCATATGAATTGCAATTTTTGTAATTTTGCTGACATTGAAACTTACACCCTATTTTTCCCTAGAATATTCAGTAACTAGCTATTTACATTTTAAAACATAAACCAAATTAAATGCCTGTCAAAAAGCTAATTACGTAATACGTATTAATAGCCTGGTTATACTCTTTTTCTAAGATATGCAATTAGCACCTGATTATTTAATTTCATATTTCATAGTTGTCATGTCATTAGGAAAAAGGTACATTTTTCAGCAGAACCCAACACAATGTCAGTGAATGAGACAGGTATTTGTGAGTCACATTCTCTGTCTGCAGCAGGAGAAGTGCTTAGATGTACTGCAAAACAAATGGACATGCTATTAACAACAACTGAATATTAAAATCTGCAATGTCTTCAAAACTTATTATGTCACCTGGCATTTTGAATGTAGTGATTATAAAATTAGGACAAACTGATCTGAGCTTAGAGTGAGCAGGACATTATCTGAGAAAGCTAACTGCATCATGAAGGATTGATTCTACACTGAAAAATAGTTTTCTTAGAACATTATGAAACAATAGGGTTTTCTTTTTAATAAAAGTAGATTCATTTGATAACTGCAGAATTTTTCAATATTCTGAACTTAAATCAGCTTAAATTGATGGGAAGATTGTGGGAGTGTCACTGCCATGTTCCAATTTCTACTGATAACATCTTAAGACCATATTTTTGAAATAATATTTTCACTGATATTTCACAGGAGCAACTCTACACATATAGGATGGTGGGGGAAAAATAATTAAATTAACAGTTCTTAAATTATGTTTCACAAAGTTACATGTGGAACATCTCAGTAATTCTGACAACCTTAATGTGACTTAAGCTTATGTGACTGAGCTTAAAGATGTCATTCTGCAGAAAGCTGTCCATCTTTAAAATGCCACCTCACTATCATCAATAAAATGACTCAGCAAAAGGATATTTTTGTGGGTTGACTCACCCCCAAAATCTCTGTGAGTCAGTACCATGGAGAAAGGGAGACAGGAAGCTCCCACTCTTTTACTGGGTGTTTTTCTGAGGACACCAGATACAGTGGTTTCTCTTTGATCAAGGATGCAATCAAGAGACTGAAGAGCATGGATTAAATGTGAGATTTAAAATAGGAGGTTTTGTGCTTATGCCCATAACTGGCATTGCCAGCCTGACCCACTGGAGACACCAAAACTCCAAATGCCACCCTGAAACATCTCACCTGAGATCCATCCTTGCACACACCCAGACTTCCCCCAGGCTGAGTAGAGAGCCACCTACCTCAGCCATGCCACACTGCACAACATCTAGCATCCTTCTGTGAGAGACAAGCTCACACAGACACAGCCAGGCCCCTCTCAAATGCAGCTACATCTGCTTTTTGAGGGAGGCACTGCTGAAGGAAGCAGCAACAGAGTTGCTGTGTAATGTTAGTATTTCAATGAAACCATCAATATGGCCAACACATATCAGATAACACAAAGTTCATGCAGACAGAGAAAAAAAGAAAAAATGAAGTAATCAATGGTAGGCATTTAGAAACCTCAAGTTCTTGCATGTTGATCTTAGTATTTCTTTTGGGCTAGTTCATGTATGGATCTGTGTGGCAAAAACAAGAACCTCCATGTCCCTTTACAAGAAGCTAAAAAAATCAGCCATTTCCAGTCTCAGGAAAGGGATATCACATATACAACAGAAACTAATTTTCATTATAGCTATGACTTAGGGGCTCACACAACTCAATACAAGAGTTTAAGTACAGTAGCAACCAAAGCTTGGGATACACTACACAAACAGAAATGCAACTGCCTCATTAGACCAGTATCTAAACAGTTCTCATAATTTCTCACTTTCTTCTACATGGTCAAGTTAGGTGGTTTCTGCAGTGGATATCAGTAAATATGTATCCAATCTCTGACACTCCAGAATGCTTTTCTTCAGCTGAAGATGTGGCTAGGCAACTACATGAGGATTGTAATGCAAATGTAGAAACCTTTATAAGTACTAAATCAGCATTCCTTCTTGCAATTGCATATTCGAAAGCTTAAAAGACTTATCTAAACTCACACATGCATATTCACAGGACTCGACCACAGATCACAAAAAACTAGCAAACTCCTTCCACCATCATCTGTTTCTGGGCACTGCTGTGGCAGAAAACAGTATTTCTTTAAAATAAATGACAATATTCTACTCTCTTGTCTCTTTGCATCCCTGCTCAAATCAATACGTTTACACATTGGAATTGCATTTCGGTACTTTCAGAAGAAAGTGACAACATAAAGTACAGAAAAATCATCTCTCACCTTCTAGATCTTCCTTTTCAAAATGTGTCTTGAGAATGGAGCGAGTTCCACCTCTGTCCACAACAGCCTCTTCATCATTTCTCTACAAAACAGAAAAAAAGACAGATAAGCTACTTTGCATTTGGAAACTTTTGGCAAGATTGTACAGCAATATAAAACAAAGATGTTTTTATTATTTCATCTTTTCCAACTCAAGAACAAAAAGGGGTGTAAGAATTTTACTTTTTTTTACAATTTAATTTTACTTATTAAATCTATTTCTTTAGCATCAGTTTTTACTGAGGTATGATTACAGCTAACTGTGACATGCAAAACTTCTGGTAAAACCTGAAAGATAATGAGTAAACACTGGTTACTGGAAACCAAGAAAAACATGAGCCAACAGGACAATGAAAGAGATGAGAGAAGAAATGTCTGATCAAGGCAGCTTTATTCTCGCGCACGTTAGGAAAGGGGTGGCACATGTATTTTTGTTTTTAGATCAGGATCGTGAGCTACGTGCACAATTCCCTAACTATTACTACTAAAATTCCTTATACTTCACCAAAGCTAGACAACAACACTCAGAGACAATATGGTAAGGAATAAAACTAATACCATGAAATCAACTGACTTCACTTACTGGTGAATTGCAAAGCCTTTGCTTTTCTTTACAAACACCGAGCTGAATTTAGTATAAAGCGGGCAGCATATACTAATAGCAGAAAACAGAAAAGCTATTCTTCCTCAGGAACATATATTTCATGTTTAATTTTACCCTATATTCATACATGCATTTAAACTGTACTCTCCACTGCACTGTAAAAATAGTATGTGATTAATAAGTGTATTGTAGTCAGGCCAGGTAAGGTACAGAAATCTGTCATTTTGTCATTTCTGACATGAAGAGAAAAACCCAACTCATTTGCCTGAACAGAAAAATATTTTGGGGGTTCAGCAACAAGTCACTAGACGCTGTGCTAAAATGAGTATCTGGTTCACTACGAGTTTGACATCACTTGTGAAAAAATCCAGCTACTAAATACAGTCTATATTTCACAACATGAAATATTAATTTCCATTAAATTGTTATTAAAAATGATGCATTATACAAAAGTACCAATTAATATATTTACTTGTCATTAGTAGAGGGGTTTCAGCAAGTGATATTAGACTAGAACTACTTGATTTCTATACATAAAATTGGTATCTTAATGCAAGTCTAAAGCAAGGGGATTTAAATACCAGTGTTGCATGATAAATATACATCTATATATATATAATGCAATGGAATATAATGAGAAATGAAAGTCTTTGAGCACCTCTCCTTAAATATCAGATGCCCCAGGCAAAAAGATTCACTTATATAGCTGGATGTGGTACATTCTGGATGTGAGTTTTTGTTTCAGGCTCCTTTCTTTTTTAAAAATAGCTGTCATGCTGTAGCAATCTTACATAGAAAAATCCTACGAATGTGTCAGCACCAAGCATCTGGGCTGTTAAAGAAAGAAAGACCAAGTGTTAAAATGTCTTTATTAGAGCTTTCCCATAGATAATAGTACATAACTAAAATATGACAATAAGAAATGGGCTTCTATTGAAATTGTTTTTTCTTTTAATAATTTAGAATTAGATAATAACCCATTAAGATGTACCAGGAAAGTATAACTCTGCCCAAGCCATTTGATCATTTTACTAAAATGAATCCATTATTTTAAAGCAGTTAGACATAACAATGCCATGCCTCTGGGTGAGTGATTAGGCAGGATGTCAAAGTCCAAGTATTAGAGCCAGATCATAAATAATGCTATTCTAGCATAAGACATTCACATCAGAAAGGAAGCAATGCTAGGGAGAATTTACAGTGGGGAAAATAATAAATTGCTGGGCAGTTTAAAGCCTTTACTGATTATCTAAGTAAATTAAATACAAATTAATTCATTAATATTTATCAAAATATGCTCATACACTTTGACTTCTCCTTTCCCATGTGTTCAATTTTCAGCTTCTGGCAGACTTTTACTTCTCTGCCTCCTCTTCCTGTAATGTCACAGCAAGTCTCAGCCTTGCCTCATTCTCAGAAATGGGTTTATTCCATTAATATTACAGAAAAAACAGCTTAATTGGGAGTGCTGTGTTGTTAGCAATTCACTTGTCAAACTCTGAGCAAAGTCCAATTAAACAGGCCTGGCACTGAACACGCTGACTTCCCAGGGAGCAGCATCAGAGGCACCTCACATTTACCAGCACAAGAGTTGTACTGCATTTCCTCTAGAAGTAATTTCTGACTCCTGAACTGCCCCCTTGGAGTAGGGGAGAGGTGAGACAAAGGTTCATTTGCAGTTTCGTGCTTAAACTCATTGGGCGGTGAGGTCTATTGCAACACAAATAAAAACAGATCCCACTCCACTTTCCCCTGGATTAATAGGGACTGGAAACCTAATTTCAATTAGTAAGGCTCTGGTTTTTATTAGAATTTCAGGAAAACTAAGAACTTATTATTTTTAAGTGCTGCATAAATTAGAGTTTGAAACTGAAAGTATAGGCAAGACTAACCATTCTTTCTTCATGGAAGAAGGAATTCATGCCAACCAAACTCCATACTAGCATCCTCAAAGCCATGAATCTTGGGCCAATCTGCAGCTTGGCCCATCAATTTTAGAAGGCTCAGAATAAGGCATGAAAACTAAAAGCTCCTCATTGCCATGCCACATTTATGTCAGAATTCTACCTCTTCTTCCTTTTACACCATTTGAAGATGATGAAGGTACAAAATTTTACATAGGGCACAAATCTGCAAGGACTGGAGTAGTGAAACCATACAGACATACTGCAGCAGTCTGCAAACAAATGTGTGGACACACTGACCATGTGCAAGTCCTTGGAACTGTCCATTACTGCAATGAGTTGCTTGCTGAGTCCAGTGAGCACTGTGGTCTACTGCTTAAAGCATGGAAGAGGGATCCAGGAAGTCCCCGAGCGCTAATCCTGGATCTGCCACTGACTCGCTGTGTGGCCTTGGGAAAGTCACTTAATCTCTGTGCCTCAGCTTCCCCATCTGTAAAATAGGGATAATAATACTTACTCATCTACCTTCCTCACTGGGCTGCTCTGTACCAAATAAATTTTCACACAGCATTCCAGAGCTGCAAGGCACTATAGAAGTGCCAAGTCATTCAATTTAAGAAATTTTACCCATGTGAATAGATAATGTTAGGAAATAAGAAACTGACAAAAAACATTAAGACATAAACTTTCTCTTTTTTATACATCAAATCAATGTATACTAATACCTTGCAATAATTTTACATTGCACAACAAAAATATATAAGAATAAATGTAAGGGGTTTTTTTCTGCCAGCCTAATTCAAGAGCAATGTTGGAGAAGCCAGTGGAATTATATTTCAGTAAAGGTATAATCAGAGTGTAATAAACTTTTCATAAAAAACAGAACATTTTTTTCACTCTCCTTTTCATAACATTTGTTAATATCTTATGGTTTTACATAGTCATCACACAATAGTTAATCTAAAATTTATTACCCTACAGTAATAAAATACCAGCAAACACACATTAGAAGAAATAATGTATCTGATAGAAAACAGCAAGAAAAAGCCAAAGCTTTTTACATGGAAACCACATGATCTTTAGAGACTAGGACCCAGCAACCATACTCAGTCCATAATTTTTTTCATGTGTTACATTTTCCAAATGAATGCTGGAAAGACCGTCAACATGCAGCAGCAGCATATTTCACAGAAAACATCTATTTAATGAAAGTCTTATAAAAACAGTTGTTACTATATTTGTCTCTACATACTAGAAGTTCAACCATAGTGGCAAGTAGAGAAAAGCAGACAATAGAGTCATCTTCTGCATGCTTTACGTTGCAACCACATACTGAAAATATGCATTTGAAGCTGAACAAAATAAAGGAAATAAACCACCTTCAAACACATTACTTTTTGGTAAGTAATCACAAAGGAAGAAGGTCATCATGAGTCTTGGAGTATGGATTTTCAACCCTTAGATAAACAACCTGCTTATCAGAGTATAAAGTGACACTACAGTTGTTGCCAGGAATTTTAAGCATGTTGTGTAGAAGGAATCAAAAGGCCCATGACTTAGTAACGAAAATCAAATGCCTTAATTGCCCTTTCCACCTATGGATGGATAAAGCTCAGCATCCAGGATATTCCAATATAAAAATGACCTCCTGGAAAACTTCACAAAGTGACCCTCTTTAGCTATGATACAGCCCTAACTACAATTCTTAACAGGTTGCAAAGAGGTTGGTCCTCAATTTGCCACCTTCCAAAACTGTGCACTGCCCTTCCACACCTCAGAACAACCTAGTTGATGAAAAAATACACTTTTAGAAAAGCTGAGAAGCATCATTTTATGATAGATGTTTTTGTGCCTTTTTACTTACTGTCTATGCCTTCATCACATTGTAGATGACTGGGTGGAGAGAAAAAGGAAATTAACTACTTTCAAAGGTGGATCTGTACAAAGGCACACGACAAACCTCTTTAAATATGTATGTGCTAACGTAGACACACACTCTTGTAGAACTTCAGTACATTTCCCGATGATGGAATTAGGACATATTCCACATCTTTTGGATGACAACAAGGCATGCTGAAGTCCAGATGACAATCTTTGATTTCAAGTTATCTATACAGGTATTATATGTATTTACTACAGGAGAAAAATCAATATATTCTCTTAAAAGAACACTTGCATACATCATTAAAACAACTTGGATACTGGGCAAACATTTACTAAAGATCATCTGTGTTAATCACTATAGCAAATGAAATATTAGTATAACAATAAATATACATTAAGAAACAGGAAATTAGGACAGCAAGGAAGTATTAAATACTTGCAAAGAGTGTGTCTCACTTCTTTCCCTTGGTAGGTACAGTGATCCACTAGTATGACATCTGTACCTAATATACTTTGAGTAGACAAATTAAAATGGATAACAGAAATTTTTATTTTACATGGAAAACTACAAAAAAAATTTTGATCCTTCTTCTTATCGATTTTTTTTCATACTTGGCTACTTTTGTTTTCTGTCCTGGTATTTGTTCAGTG